GTATTCACAGCATCCAAACGAGTAGATTCCATTCCAAGAAACCACTTTCTGGTGCCAAACATGGGGGTGCACACCTGTATACAGTCCTAGTTATTTAAAAGGCTAAGGTGAGAGGATTGCTTAAGCGCCTGAGTTTGTGGCTACAGTGAACTATGATCATGCCACTGAACTCTAGCCTGTGCAACAGAGCAGGACCTGTCTCTAAAAAAACAAAAACAAAATAAACCTTTTTTTTTTTTTTTTTTTTTAGAAAACACTTTCTTAGCTCATCCATAAGAAGGAACTCCTTATTTGATCATGAGACTGCAGCAGTTGAGTCACATATTTAGACTCTGTTTCTAAGTTTAGTTATCTTGTAGTTGCTACCACATAGCAGTTCTTCCTCCACTGAAGTCTTGAACCAAAGCCATCCAAGAGAGAATCAACTGCTTCCATACTCCAGTTAGTGATATTTGGACCAACTCCCGCAAATTGTGTTCTTAATGGCATTTAGAATAGTGAATGTTTTTCAGAAGTTTTTCTACTTTGTCCAGATCCATCAAAAGAATCACTATCTATGAGAGCTAGAGCCTTATGTTTCTTTTATTTATGAGCCAGAGTCTCATTCTGTCGCCCAGGCTGGAGTACAGTGGTATCCACAGGTATGCACACTCAACGGCCACCACAGCCTTCACTTGCTGGGCTCAGGTGATCCTTCCACCTCAACCTTCCAAGTAGCTGGAACAACAGATGTGTACCACCATCCTGGCTAATTTATTTATTGTAAAGACAAAATCTCACCAAGTTGCCCAGACTGATCTCGAGCCCCTAAGCTCACGCCATTCTCTTGCCTCCACCTCTCAAAGTGCTAGGATTACAGGTGTGAGCCACTGCGCCTGGCTACGGTGTGTTTCTTACATAAGACTTGAAGTCAAGTCTTGACCCGTGAGTTGCAGAATGAATGTTGTGTTAGCAGGCATGAAAAACAACATTAATTTCTTTGTAGATCACCATCAGAGCTCTTCAGTGAACAGGTACACAGTCAATGAGCAATATTTTGCAAGTCTTTTTCTGAGTAGTATCTCTCAACATGGGCTTAAAATACTCAAAGCATTGCTTTGAACAGTTGTGCTGTTAACCCAAGCTTTGTTGGTCCATTAATAGAGCACAAGTATAGCAGATAAAGCATAATTATTAGGATTTGTCAGAATGGTCAATGACCATTCACCAGGTACATTATTCCCTAATAAGAGAAAGAGCCTATCCTTCGAAACTTTGAGAACAAGCACTGCCTTCTTTCTAGCTAGGAGAGCCCTATATGACATCTTCCAGTTGACAGCTTTTCATCTACATTGAAAATCTCTTGGTTGGGCTCAGTGGCTCAGCCTGTAATCCCAGCACTTTGGAAGGCCAAGAGGATTGCCTGAGCCTTGGGGTTCAAGACCAACCTGGGCAATTTGGTAAGACCTCCTCTCTACAGTAAATTACAAAAAAAAAAAAACTAGCCGGGCGTGGTGGCTTGTGTCTTTCAGCTACTTGGAAGACTGAGGCAGAAGGGTCGCGTAAGCCCAGCAAGTCAAGGCTGCAGTGACCTGAGCATGCCACTGCATTCCAGCTTGGGCGACAAGAGACTCCAACTCAAAAAAAGAAAAGAAAATCTCTTGTTTATAGTGTAGCCACCTTCCATCAATTATCTTAGCTAGATCATCTGGATAACTTGCTGGAGCTTCTACGTCAGCACTTGCTACTTTACCTTGTGCTTTTATTTTATGAGCACAGCTTAAACCTCATGAATCAACCTGCAAGCTTCAAACTTTTATTTGGCAACTTGAACACTCACAAGCCATTTTAGGGTTATTAATAAGCCTGATTTCAATATTGCGTCTCAGGGAGTAGGGAGGCTGAAAGAGGAGTAATGAGAACAGATGGAACATTTGCCAGATGTAATATTAGGCTTGCTGTCTTATATGGCTGTGATTCATGGTGAGCTCAAACTTGTAACAATGGTAACATCAAAGGTCAATGATCACTGATAAGACATACAATAATAAAAAGTTTACTGCAGTTCCAGCTGCTTGGAAGGGTGAGGCGGAAGGATTGCCTGAGCCCAGCAGGTCGAGGCTGTGGTGGCCTTGAGTGTGCCGTGCACTCTAGTCTGGGCAACAGAATAAGAATCCAACTCATGAAAAAAAAATTTTAAATACTGTAAGAATTACCAAAATGTGACACAGACAAGAAATGAGTACATGCTGTTGGGAAAATGGTGCTGATAGACTTGCTCAACACAGTTGAAACAAACCTTCAATCTATAAAAAATGGAGTAACTGAAACACAATTAAGGTATGCTAGTAATTTCATGATAGGAAAGCTTGCTGCATTTTTAACGTAGCATCATGGATTCAAAGGTTTTCCCCCATAAAATAATGGAATTAGGGTAGAAATAAATGTATGGAAAGAAATTAGCTTATTCCCAACGTCTCAGTGATTACATATAAGACTCATTGTAATGTAAGAATATTTTATGAATAAGCAGCTTATAAATTATGGAAGCCATTATGTTAACTTTTGTTTGAATTTAATGACCATTCTAGTTTTGAAAGGCATAACAATATCATCCCAAGTTCTTGCCTCACCTACAAAATTTGAGTCCAGCTTTAGCTACAAACCTCATGAGAAAAAATCAAATATGCTTTGTGTAAGATTAAATATTTATATAACATAAAGGTTAACACACCTGATGGCAAGAAAGAAAGGCCATCTTTCCCCCACCATCTCCCACTCACCTTTCCAGTGTTAAAGTATATTTTATAAAAGTCAAGAGCTCAATATACAGTTACCCACGCTAAGTGCCTTATTTTGTAAAAAATGCCTAATCAGTTTATTATCAAGTAGCATGCAGAAGTAAGTCTTTTAGAATAACTGAAGATAAAATGCATTTTTCTCCTCTGGAGACATAGCTTTGCTGGTCTTCATTTAATTTGCTGGAAAAAGAAGTAATTTAATAGATCAGTAATATACTCAGTTTTTTTAAAAGTGTTGTTCATTCTCAGCTATCTGATACTAGAATCTAGCAATAGAAGGTTCTTTATTAAATTTATAAGGAATTAAGATCTTAGCGTTTACCTTTGTGTATCTGAATATGCAATGCTAGCTTTATTATTCAGTTATTCTAGTACAATGCAAGCAACATTTAGAAAAATTCACATAATTACACTCAGTAATTTTTTTGTATTTGTAGTGTAGCAGGCTTACAAAATGAGTTTCTTTGAGTAGTTCTAAAATAAAGTTGATAAAGATGTTAAAAATATTGACCAGGTTGGTTCAGCCAATCGATTACTGGAATGCAGTCTGTGTGTTGCTGACAGGAAATTACTATTTTTGGCATGTTCTTGTAAACAATTCTAGAAGCTTTATTTTATTCTTCATTAGTTGGTTTCATACGGTAAATGCTCACAACATTGAGACAGAGGGGTGCATGTGTGTCTGTCTGTCTGAAGATTTGCCCAAAGAAGACATGTAGCCCTTGAATGTCAGAGTCATCAAGGGCCATAAGCCCATGCAATTGTGTGTAGTGAACTTACATGTTAAAGTTCGAAGAAAATATCTAAAAGCCTATAAACAGACATGCAAGGTCATTTCATGATAGTGCTAAAACCAAGTCTCAGTCAACAGAAAGGGGAATAGTCCTTTGTACATGGATATGACTTGAAATGGAAGTCCATGAGGCACACTAGATGGTGACCCAGGTTTCTTTTTATATGTATTATTTGTAACACTTTTAAGTGAGCGGTAATTTATCATCACTTAATTTTTGCAGTCTGCTTTAAATTCTAGCCCCACCTACATGTTATCTGTTCCTTTAAACACGTTGCTCAACTTACCTTGTGCCTTAGTTTCCTTATTTGTGTAAAAGATATAGTAATCCTTTTATGTAAGATTAAAAGAAAGTATATGAATTTTCTAACTCAGAGGTCCTCAAACCCTAGGCCAGTGTCAGCCCATGGCATTTTAGGCACCGGACTGCACAGCAAAAGGTGAGCAGTCGGCGAGTGAGCAAGGCTTCATCTGTATTTACAGCCACTCCCCATCACTCACATTATTGCCTGAGCTCTATCTTCTGTCAGATCTGGAGTGTCATTACATTCTCATAGGAGCCCAAATCCTGTTGTGAACTCATTGAAGGATCTAGGTTGCTCATTCCTTATGAGAATCTAATGCCTGATTTGAGGTGAAGCCGAGGCGGTGATGCTAGCTAGCACTGAGGAGTGACTGCAAATACAGATTAATATTAGCAGTGGCCGAGCTTGGTGGCTCAGCCTGTAATCCCCAGCACTTTGGGAGGCCGAGGCGAATGGATTGCCTGAGCCCGTGGGTTCGAGAACAGCCTGGGCAACTTGGCAAGACTTCGTCTCTACAACAAATCAAAAATTAGCCGGGGTGTGGTAGCATGCACCTGTAGTTCTGGCTACTTGGAAGGCTGAGGCAGAGGGATCACCAGAGCCCAGCAGGTCGATGCTAGGGTAGCTGTGAGTGTGCCACTGCACTCCAGCCTGGGGAACAAAGTGAGACTCAAACTCAAAGAAAAAAAAAAAAAAAAAAAAACAGGTTTGACTGCACAGAAACCATAATCAATTGACTCATATCAAAACCATATCAGTGAGTGGCAAGTGAGTTGATGAACTTCAGTTGTGCGGCTATATTAGTCTGGGTGTGGCCCACCCATTATTTTATTTGCCACTACCATTTTACATTTTTTAAATGGTGAGTTGTATATTTCATTATATATTGCAACATTCTGAGATAAAGTGTACAGTAAATGTTATGTGCTCGAATCATCCCAAAACCATCCCTTCATCCTCTTGGAAAAATTATTCTTTTGCATAAACACAAAACTGGTCCCTGGTCCCTGATGTCAAAAAGGTTGGAAACCACTACTCTAATTCCATCTCTCTGGCTTTAAGCGTTCAGTGATGGATCATCTTTCCAAACAGGGAAACCTAAACAAAGCCCTAAACTTACAATTATTTGAAAGGTCGACTAATCTGATTAAGATGCATATTACCTTAATGACAAAGCCTTAAAGAGAAACTATGCTTTTTTTCCCCCTTTTACTCTATAGTGACTTCTTTGTATCTATCCACAGACAACAACCAAAGCAAATACTAAGGTGTCTACAGTTTACTATTTGAGTAGGACATGGAAGAGAGAGAGCAAGTCACATCCAGCAGTAGAGGCATCATAATCCTACAGCTTCATGTAGGGGCAGGCAACCAAACTCTTGCACCTAACCCAACTCTCCTTCCCCGCATGCACACACATGCCCTTGTATACACAGCAACAAACTTGGAGCTTAAGACAGGAAAACGTCAGGAGATGACCACAACTCACTAAATTTATAAGGGCAGAGGGGTAGGAGAGGCCCTTCTCTACAACTTTGCCTCTGAAAGGATACCTTATCTTTGGGGGCGGCTTTTTTCTGTACTTTGCAAAATAAATAGAGCAGTTGGCGCTGTTGACTTAATTCTGGATGGTGACAGGTGCTGCACTGAAGCTTTTGACTCAGTTCTCACAGGTACCAGGAGAAAGGCTGGACCAACACAGGAAGACCATGTAATCCCAAGGGGAATGCAAGCAGCTGTTGCAGCTCCATGGCCCACCTTCAGCTTTGCAGCAAGGCTTACCTCCAGATAGAAAGTGGAGGGGGAGAATGCTGAGGCCACACCATCTATCGTTCATCTAAGTCCCTGTTATTCAAACTACAACTTTACAGAAAAAAAAGTTTGACATGAATTAAATACTTTGACTTCATCCTGCTCAAAGCTATGTGTGGAAAAGCTGGAGACCTCACTTTTTCTGTTGGAGCCTGCTAAATATAGTGTGCTAACACAAACTTGGATATCATGCCTGCTTAAAAGAAGGATGTCTGTATATGTATATACTTCTTGAATTAGGCTCTTACTCTGTCACCCAGGCTGGAGTGCAATGGCACCATCATGGTTCACCACAGCCTTGACCTCTTGGGTTTGGGTGATCCTTCCGCCTCAGCCTCCCAAGTACCTGCGACTACAGGTATGCACCACCATGCCCAACTAATTTTATTTTTGTAGATACAAGGTCTTGCTATATTGCTCAGGCTGGTCTTAAACTCCTGGGCTCAAGTGATCTTCACACTTCAGCCTCCCAAAATGCTGGGATTACAGGCATGAGCTACTGCCCCCAGGCAGGATGCCCATATACCAAGTTCACGTCCTTTGGGCAAAACCTGGTAGTTGAGGAGACTTCAGTTTCCCGCAACACTTACCTGCAGGGCCCGACCTTTGGTCTCAATGGGGAGAGTAAATGCAGAAATGGCACACACAGCACAGACAAATGAGAACAGACACACTGCTCCCAGGAATGATGCACTCATGAGAACCTGCAAGTTACAAGAGATGACTCAATTTACTGCTCCCCAGTCACCTGTAGACTAATCCTTTATATCAAAGGGAAAATAAAGATTCCCTTCACCAGGACAGTCCTTTGCAGTCATTTTACAAATTATGCATTCCCCATGGATTGGTTCATTTGCGCCCAGCTGGTGTAGGCATTTTATGTGATTCCTCCATGAGCAGGGACTGGCATTAACATGCACCAGCCAGGTTAGCCCTCATTGCCACCCATCTGGCATCTCCAGAGCCATTTGTCTGAGGAAGAGGGGGGATCTGCCTATGTCCCCACCTCTTCTCATACCAATTCAGCTTGCTTAACATATAACCTTCTCACTTCATGCTGTGCCCCTCTGCCAAATATTTATCTTCTGCCTTCAGTTCTAGCAGGATGAAACAGGAGAAATTTTTTGTTTTTTGGAAGAGAGGTAATCTCAAGGTCTCTGAAATAATTACTAATATACCTTGTCTAATATACCTTGTCTCTGTTCACAATGCTTCACGTGTGACAACCAAAATTACCTATAAGGTATCTTTTTTTTTTTTAACTGTAATGATAGATTTATGCCCATCTGTATACATCCTTTGGTCTAGGTCTTTCACCCTGATACTGGCTAGTTCAGCACTCCATCTCATACCCCAGTCTCTCCAGGATTGGGTTCAAAGTAGCCAAGCACTTGATAACTGTCAACTAATCTCACAAGAACGGTTAAGTATGTCATGGTTGACAAACAGCAAGTTCCCCTAGAATCACAGCATATTGTAATTTAGAAAGACCTAGAAACTGTCTATTACAAACTTTTCACTTCATAGATGAGCCTGGAATAAGTGACTGGTCTTAGTAAACATTTATCCAAAGACACATGCAGATCCTGATACATAACCTGATGTTATTTATACCACTAACGTTTCCTTAGGTACACAATTTAGGAGCCCCTTTCCTCTGTATAAGGGCCGCTGCCTTCCAAATAGTGAATAATTCAATTGATCATGCAAAAGAACCTATGGCATTAACCTCACAAATTATCTTGTAATTGACCTAGCAAGTGTTAGGTCCTATTCTGCTTTTGTCCCCCAAAATAATTATGATTTCCCCAAACAGGAGATTGTATAACTTGTCTCTGTGGGGATACGTGTGTGTGCATGCGTATGTGTGCATGTGCGTGCACAAACTGCTGGAAGGCTGGGAAACAGGCTCAGAAAAGAGGTAGAAACCGAAAAAGGCCAGGCAATCTGAACCATGACCAAGTCATACCACAGTTAGCCATTTGTCTAGATTCTGTCATTGCTGCCACTTCTGTTATTGGACACCAAAATTCTTGCTACCACTAGAATGAATTTTAAAATATCCTCACTTCACATCCTTTGTACCAGATTTAAAGCCCTGGGTGATGTGAGACCCTGGAATTTAGGTCATGTAACAGGGCTCTACCAGCCAGGGTCCGGGAGAGCAACTAAGACTTGGTTTCCCTAGAGGGAGACAGGGCTCTGCTTCATAGCAAGATGCTGCAGTCAGTTACTGGATATTCTTACAGTAAATTCTGCCTAAGTTAACAAAAGTCAATTTCTACTGTTTGAAGAAAAAAAAAACTGAGTAATATCTAATTATAAAAATCATCTGGGAATTTTGTTAAAATATAGATTTTCAAGGACCCTTCTTGATTTTCCATATCAAAAGGAAAGAGATCTGTTAATTTCTACTTGTAAAAAGCAGTCCAGATGAAGGACAAAGAGGGACAATACATTATGACAGAAGGGTCAATCCACCAAGAAGACATAATTGTTCTATTTTTAGGTCTTGGGTACAGTGGCACAATCACAGCTCACCACACCCTCAACTTCCTGGGCTCAGCTGATTCTTCTGCCTCAGCCTCGTGAGTAACTAGCACCTCAGGTGCCCATCACCAAACCCAGCTAATAATTATTTTTTTTTAGAGACAGTATCACTATGTTGCCTAGGCAGCTCTCAAACTTCTGGGCTCAAGCAGTCCTCTGGCCTCCACCTCCCAAAGTGCTGGGATTACAGGTGTGAGCCACCGCACTCAGCCTATGTTATCCTAAATGTCATACACCAAACAAAAGAGCTTCAAAATACATTCAGTGACTGGGTGTGGTGGCTCACACCAATAATCCCGGCACTTTGGGAGGCCAAGGCAGAAGGGTTGCTGGAGCCCAGGAGTTCAAGACCTGCCTAGGCAACACAGGGAGACCTCATCTCTATAAAACAAGCAAAAAAATTCACAAGAAAATACATTCAGCAAAAACGGATAGAACTGAAAGAAGAAGCAAACAGATTCACATGTAGCTGGAGACTTCAATACTCCTCTCTCAACAATTGACAGAACTTTATGACACCATCAACCAACAGGATCTAATTGACATTTGTAGGAAAGTTCACTGAACAACAACAATACATATTCTGTTCAAGTGCCCATTTGACATTCACCAACAACAACCATACCCTGGGCCATAAAATGAACCTTAACAGATTTAAAAGAATTAAAATCAGAATCTGTTCTCTGACTAAAATGATGTCACTCTAGAAATAAAAAGATAACAAAATCCGCAAACACTTCTAAACACTTCTCCACTTTCCATGGGTCAAAGAACACAATGTCTCAGGAAAATGTCTCAGGAAAAAGGAAAAATACAGCTGGATGCAGTGGCTCACGCTTATAATCCCAGCACTTTGGGAGGCAGAGACAAGAGGATTGCCTGAGTCCAGGGGTTCAAGACCAGTCTGAGCAACTTGGTGAGACCTCATCTCTACAATAAATCAAAAAATTAGCCAGATGTGGTGGTACACACCTGTGGTTTCAGCTACTTGGAAGGCTAAGGCAGAAGGATCACCTAAGCCCAGCAGGTCGAGGCTGTGGTAGCCATGAGCTCCAGCCTGGGCAACAGAGTGAGACCCCTACTCAAAAAAAGAAAGAAAGAAAGAAAATACATCGAATGGAATGAAATCACATTTTAAATCTGTAGGACACAGCTTATAGGACAAAAACAAAATACTTAGGAATAAACTCAAGAACAAATGTACAAGAAGCATGAAGAAAATAACTCTACTAAGTACATAAAATTGAATAAATCTATTTCTGTTCTTAGAAAAATGCAATCTTATAAAAATACCATTCTCATCAAAATGATCTATAATTCTATTGGAAATCAAAGTCCCAGTAGGATGTGGGGTGAGGGGATGATTCTAAAGTTAATTCGAAAGAACTAATGTGAGAAAAATGAGGAGACTTCTAAAAACTTATGTGTAGTGGTGGGGGAGGCTGAGGGAGGTTATTAACCTTGAGAACATTAAACACAAAGTTAGAGTCATTAGCTGTATGGTGTTGGTGCCAGAATACAGTGATCAGTAAAGCAATGAGTCACTAAACGAACCCAAGTATCTATGGAAATATGGCTTATCATAAAAGGATATGTTAAGTCAGTTGAGGAGAGGCAGATGAAATGATAATTTATGACCTAGGGACAACCACAGAGGCATTGCTTTGTTAATTTCTAAAACTAGACCTCAGGCTTTATGCATAAATTGTGAATAACCAAAGAATTTAATGGGTTGGATGAAACATTGAAAGTCTTTGAACTTTCGATGTTTCATAAATATTTTTAGTACTATGAATGAATGAAAGTGATGAAGGCCATTTAAGCATGACAGGAAACAACCACCCTAAGTGAAAATAGTTGGTACTTGACTACAAATTTAAAATTTTGCATGCCAAAAACTTGACAGTAAAATCAAAAGGCAAACAATACAAAAATATCTGTAGTAAATGGCTAACAGCCTGTTGAAAAATTGCAAATCACATAAGCAATTTTTAAAGGAAATATAAATGGATAATAAAAGATTCTCAACTTTATTAACAATGAACAAAGTACAAATTAAGAAATGATATAATTTATTGTTCACCAGATTTAAAAACTTACTATCCCTTTTTGGTGATGAGGAGGGGAAACAGAGGTGCTTGTTTAAGAATGTTTATAGACCTGAAGAGACATTTCTCCAAAAAAGACATAGGAATGGCCGACATGTATATGAAAAGGTGCTAAACACCACTAATCATCAGGAAAATGAAAATCAAAACCATAGTGAGAGCTCTCACCTCACACCTGTTAGAATAGCTATCATCAAAAAGACAATACCCACTGTCAGTGGGAATAGCGATTGGTGCAGCCATTATTAAAACAGTATGGGCCAGGCTCGGTGGCTCAGCCTATAATCCCAGCACTTTGGGAGGCCGAGGCAAGTGGATTCGAGACCAGTCCAGACAACTTGGTGAGACCTTGTCTCTACAATAAATGAAAAATTAGCCAGGTGTGGTAGCGAGTGCCCGTAGTTCCAGCTACTTTGAAGGCTGAGACAGAAGGATCATCGGAGCCTAGCAGGTTGACACTGGGGTGGCTGTGAGCGTACCACTGCGCACTGCAACCTGGCGATGGAGTGAGACTCCAACAAAAAAAAAAGAGAGACTCCAACTTAAAAAAAAAAAAAAAAAAAGCAAAGCAAAACAAAAAACAGTATGGAGGTTCTTAGAGAAATTAAAAAGAAAACTGCCATATGATCCAACAATTCCTCTGCTGGGTATAAATCCAAAGAAAATAAAATCACCACCTCATAAAGATAACCTCACTCTCAACATTCATTGCAGCATGATTTATAGTAGCCAAACTATGGAAACAACTAAAGTGTCCATCAACAGATGAATGGATGGAAAAAAATGTGGTATACATACAATACATAGACACATTCAGCCTTAAAAAAGAATAAAATTAGCTGGGCATGGTGGCTCATGCCTGTAATCCCAGCACTTTGGGAGGCAGAGGTGAGAACATTGCCTATGCTCAGGAGTTTGAGACCAGTCTGAGCAACATGGAGAGACGTCGTCTCTACAGTAAACAAATTTCAAAAATCAGCTGGGCATGATCTCGCATGCCTGTGGTTCCAGCTACTTGGAAGGCTGAGGCGGAAGGATCACCTGAG